GGTGAGGCGGCCCGCCCCAGGCCCGGTTCCGGCCTCGTCTCGCCGGGGCGGCCCGAGGGCATCCGAGGGCCGGTTGAGGGCTGAGCGGGGAGGGCCGGGTGGGGGCTCCTCCGACAGAAAAGGAGCCGGGTCCGCAACCTGCACCGTGCCCGGACCGGCGAGTGCGGAGAGGCCCGGCCCTCACTAGCGGCCTTGAGCGTCCAGTCCCGGGCCGGGCCGTGGGGTTTGGGGGTGGTGGGATTGGGCCCAGACTTTCCCCCCACCTCGCTCTCGGCGATTGGGAGGCGCGAGGCTGGGCCGGGGCAGGTGCCGGAGGCCCGGGAAGTTGGAGGGCCGGAGGAGGAAAAGTGAGGAGGCGCCCGGGGAGGCCGGGGGGGAGGGGGAGGAGGAGTCGGGCTTTGGGTCGGCCGAGTGGGGGAGGAGGGGAGAGCGGCGCGGCCGGAGGGAAAGGGCCCGGAGGGGGGGCGGGGAGGGGCCGACTCGCAGGTAGTGTCCGGGCGCCGGAGGAGGTGGGTGGGTCAGGTTACAAGCCTGGGGGCGGCTGAGGAGAAGCTCAGGAAGTGGGGCAGGGTGGGTGTGGGCGGAGTTAGTTCGGGTGGGGGCTGATAGGAGATCCCAGAGATGTTTGCAGGGGTCATATGAGGTTAGGGCTTGGAGAGATGTTTGAGGGGGGAAGGCCAGATACGGGGGCCATCAGGTAGGTTGAGGAACTACTGTAGGAGCTTTGGGAGAGGGGGAAAGCAGCGCCTTTGCGCTAGGCTAGTGGCCGCGAAACGGGGCGTCCCGAGAAGCTAGTGTGATCAAAAGGCACATGCCACCTCTTCCCCCACCAGGTGTTAGCTCTGGGCCAGATCTGGGGTCTTTCCTCTTTTCCTCATCCCAGTCAGGCTCTGGGTCTCCGATCTACCTTGTGGACGAGCCTCTGCTGGCTTTTCCAAGGTGCTGGCGCACCCGGTGGGTGTTTGTGTGGGCAGCTTGAGAAAGTCTAGAACACCTAGTTCGGGCATATGTATTTGCAGAGAGGCAGCCCAACGGCCCTTACCTGAGTATCTTGGGATACTAGATTCTTTCTCCCCTTTTTGTGAGCAGAGCCTTGGGGCTCAAACCTAAGGGATGGGACCTCACAGCCACCATCTTATACCGTGGCCTCCCAGGCACCAGCTTCCCAGAGGTGAAGAACGGGGAGGTGAGCCTATAAAGCTCTGTTCATTGTGTCTCAGAGACTCCTGATGGGGAGAAGGCAGGCCACTGAGGAGACCAAAACCAGTATTTACACCCTGGTCCAGGCCTTTGGGGCTACTGGCCCCAGGGCTCTGCCTGTGGGGTGCTCTTCCTGGGTCAGGCCCTGGGATGAGCTCATTGATGGCTCACCACCACTGGGTCAGCTTAGGCCTTCTCCATGGTAGGAGAAAGCTGAGGCTCCAGGTGGCTTGTCCCAGGTCACACAACTAGACAGTGGCAGACTGGGATTGACTGGCGCTCAGCTCAAACCCACAGTCTCCCAGGCTGGCTTTTGAGGGGCATGACTGGAGGAGCTCACACTGTTCTGGATTGCCTGGTGGGAGTTCTGTGCCCAGGCCTTTTCTCTTGCCCATTCCAAGGGATAGGTCCGTACCTTCGTGGACAGTTTTTCTGGTGTGTCCCAGAGGGCTGGAATAGTGGAAGCTTTTTTCTCAGAGGCTTGGTCACACCTCATTTCACACACATCCCTTCTGGGAGCCAAGAGGTCAGGGGTTACGGAACTATAGGCTGGCAAGGGGAGGCAGTTAGGAGGATGGGGCCTGGCTCCAGGGCTGCATCTTGCTTTGCTTGCCTGGTTTGTCTTTTCCCCTTTTGGGTCCCGGGTCAGACCACCACAGCCTTCCTTCCTTCTCTCTGGGCTCATTGTTACCATTGTGTCCTGGGAACATTGACTTGGGATCTTCAGCCCCTGAGGCAAGAGCCACAGACTGCTGGGTGAAGTGGTATCTCCCAGGCCTGGGTTTAATGATGGGTTGTCATCCTCATTCCCTGCCCTCCCCCAGTCTCCCTGTAGCTCCTAGAACTGATCCCACCTGGGCCATGCTCTCCTCCTCTCCCTGGCTGGCCTTCTGGCTCTGGGAAGGGGGGCGGGGGGGACTGGGCCGCAGCCCCACTTAAAGATGCTTTTCCCCTGCCTGGTCGGGCCGAGGCTGGCTTCTGTGGCACAGACTGGGGCTCAGGGCTGGGTACTGAGGACAAGGATGGCTACCTCTGGTCACATGGCTGGAATAGGGCCAGAGGCTGGTGGGTGCTGGCCGGGGTGAGTGGATGGCAGAGGAGGGCAGCAGCTTCTAGCTGCGCCTGGAGCTAGAGGAGAAGGCACTCAGAAGCTGCTTTTTTGTCAGGACGTAGGGGCACACAGACCTGGGGTGCCAAAGAAGGCCAAAATAGCAAGTACAACAAGTAAAGGGACCTGTGGGACAATTTTGTTTCCCTAGGGTCTCGACTGCCTGCTGGGGCCAGGGGAGCAGCTCTGAATAACAGATCCTGGTGAGGAGAGGGGATGGAGAATTTCAAATTGGGTGGTCAGGGAAGGCTTGTGGGAGAGCTGAGCCCTGAATAAGAAGAAATCAGCCTGGTGGGGGAAGCTGGGGCAGGGAGGAGCGAATGTTCTGGGCAGAGGGGACAGCACATTGAAAGCCTTTATTGAGCATGTGCCAGCCTCCTGCTAAGTACTCTAAATATCTTGTCCTCATGAGGGAAGGAGTGAGGGGTGACCCTAGTGTGAAGATGGGAGACCCTTAGTGCCATTTGCAGGAAAGCGCCCAGTCTCAGGGTCTTCTGGATCTCCCCACTGCCCCCAGCTGAAAGTCCAGACGCCTTGGCCTGCATCCAGGCCTTTTAAAGTCTGGGGCCCAGGCCAGGCAGTGGGGAGCCCCAGTGAGCCAGGCTGTGAGGACTGCTGAGTTTCTGTCTGTCTTGGAGGATCCGTTGGCGGTTGGTCCAGCCAGGTCTGACTCAGAGTTCATCAGGGTCAGTGCCAGAGCCAGTGATGGAGAAGGGAGCCTGTGTTTGAGGCGACGATGAGCCTCCTTCCCAGGCTTGAAGACAAGTTGGCAGTGCTTGAACAGCCTGTGCTTCCTCTCCTGGGTCCTTCCGGCTCCTCATCACCCTTTCCCCCTTCCCCAGGCCCTTGGTGCTTATTGTGCCTAGCAGGAGTGTGCAGGCCCGTCTCCCTGCCTCTGCTCCTGGGTCCCCTTGGCTGAGAATGCCATCCCTCCGTCTCCCCCTGGAGAGCCCCTCGAGCTGCAGAGGTTGGGAAGTGGGACCGGTCTGGTGGCGGTTACAGGTTGGGCCCAGTGTCTGGTTGTGGTCATCGTCCCATCTCTCCTGTGCCGCCTCCTTCGGTCAAGGTCTCAGCAGTCTTAGAGATCCAAGAGCCCTCTGTGAGGACAGCAACTCTGTTTTCTGAATTAAGCAGGGGTTGGGCAAAGGTGAGCAAACCACATGGTGTAGTGGACGGTCTGCTTCCACCATTAGCACCACCCTGCTCGGCCCTGAGATGCCGGGCCTCGTTTGTGACCTGGGCATCTCTCATTTCCTCCTCTGATAAGTGGGGACCAGCAGGCACACCTGTGCAGCAGTGGTTCTCACTCAGGGATGATTCTGCCTCCTCTCAAGGGATGCTTGGAGAATGTCTGGAGACATTTTTAGTTGTCACAGCCGGGGCTGGTCCTGGCCTTTATGGGTGTAGAGGCCAGGGATGCTGCTCAACATCATAAAAAAGGTACAGGGCAGTTCTCCTCCCCAAAGAATGATCTGGCCCCAGTGGCTGCAGGGCCAAGGTCAGGGGATCCTCGCTGTGTTGTTACCATGCGGGACGCAGCGGTTGGCGTCTGGGGTGTGTGAAGATACTGGGAAGACGGTGGGGAGCACCCAGGAAGTACTGCCCGATTGATCACGAAATGGCATGAGGTTCTGGGAGCTGGCGAGTGGTGTAGGATGTCTCCGCTGCTGTCTGAGACTTTACAGCCCTGCAAGGGGCTTGGGACGAACAGAAGGGGACATAACTAATTATCACAGCTGGCGTTACTGGGGGGTACCAGTCACAGGGTAAGCACCAATCTACCGTGTGGCTTGCTGGTTTAACCCTTGAGACAGCCTTGTGCGGCAGCTGCCACCATCCAGCCCGTTCTATAGCTGGGAAGACTGATGTCAGGGGGCGAGTACTGCTCTGGGTGCATGTTTTCTGGCAGCGTAGAGGAAGGGAAGCACAGTTCTAAGCAGGAAGCTTTGAGCTTCGGGCAGGATAATAGGATTCAGATTCTCAGGCCCTGCTGAGGCCCCGCATGGTCTCCCAGCACCTGTCAACAAGCCCCATCCCAGTAGCCATGTGCCCTGCGGCCCTACCAGCCTCCTTCATCAGCTGCACCGGTGTCCCCTCGGGGCCTTCACGCTTGCCGCTCCCTTCACCACCCTTAGCGTGGCTACTGCCACCAGGTCCTTCAAGTCTGAAGGCCCCAGGGATTAGGGTGTTAACTCAGAAAGGTGGGCCAGTGGGGGGTGGGGGAGCTGCTGCAGACCCAGGCCAGATTCCCCAGGGCTGCAAGG